TTCGTGGCTCCTATCTGGTTTTGTCCTCGTTCTCCCAGCCAGCTTTGCCATCATATTCTTCCTTCCAGAGGGGCCTCCTCTCGCAGCTTGTTGAGTCTGGGCTAAGCGGCTAAGCTTGCCCCCTCTATATAGCTTCTGCAGCTGGGGGTACACGTGTGCGCCCTTTTCACCAGACCATTGCTCTCACAACTCTAGCATCTGTCTTCCATTTGCAACGAGGGCCCTGCCGTTTTCTCCCTTGTCGCAGGAGCTGCTCGTCGCCTGTTTGCCTTCCCGTGCTGGTAGGTCTCCTTCCGCTCTTGCGTCTTCCAGGTTCTCCCCTTCCTCTCTCTTCCTGATTTGCTCGGGCAGGACGTCCTCTGTTCCATCGGCTCCAGGCGCTGGTGTCTGGCTCATCCGCGTCATTCCTCTTTCGTCGAAACAAGTTCCGGTTGCCACTATCTGTGGTGCGCGGCGAGGATCCATGGCTCCTTTTCCCTTACTTTCCTTTTCCCTTACACCGCCAGTAGAATACCGACCTCCTAGTAGCAAGACAGCTCAAGGTCAGGATCTCCAGTACTCCCGGAAAAGCACAAAGCAAAACCGCCTTCGAGCTCAACCCCCTCCCCCAAAAGTTGGTTATTCTTTATTCGCTGTCAGGTCCCAGATGGCTGCAATTTTTGCGGCGGGGGCTTATGCCAAAGTCAGTAAGCTCAATCACTCCCATGTTCGAGAATGTGACCAACCAGAAGTTTACTACGCCCCCAGAATCAGTCGACCACGCGGAAGGGCGCTTGCCTGCACACCTGCTTAATCTAAAATGGCAAGACCTCCCTCCCGGACACGCGCCCACCTACTCACCCCCAGGAAACACCCCCAGGGCAAGATAGGCCGGCGCCGGGATTACAGGCGTTTGGAGGAATACCTCCTTGGCTGGCAAGCGAGAACCCTGGCGTCTCCATCCTACAGCCACCGGACCTGGAATTACAGGAGCCAGAGTCACCAACGTCGGAAGCAGCAGCATACCCTCGATGGAAGGATGGTAGCGCTATGACGAAACAAGATAGGCAGCAAATCCAGGAGTACGAGCGCAACACTTGAAGACAATAAGAACCGTATGCAGAACATCATGAATACACTCGTGGATAACGAGAAGAACCGGCAGAAGAGTCAGGGAGGGACATGGAGCCGGAAAACGAAGAGCCCAACGAAAGTATACGTCCCCACAGAAAAACGATCTGCAGGAGAGCCAGTGAGAGCGAATCACGCGCCCAACTGAACCGACAGCGAATGTACAGAACACAATGTCAATGTAGAGAACGAATTTTATCACCGTAGTGGACCCTGCGCTGGGCGGGATGATGCTGGCAGTGCAAACATAATTTTGAGGAACCCGTGGATGCGAGTTAGTGGGGCTCGAGTGGATTGGTACTTGGTACGTAGACTTTTGGCTGGGCCTCCGACATACTGTAGCAATGAAAATGGCAAAGGCCGTGACCGAAATGATTGTTTGTAACCCTTCATGCTAGCTGTTCGTGTTTCCCTTCGTTGTTTGACATGGATGGGGCCCGGGGACACGAGTGTTCCGAGACGTGTGAGACTCAAACAGTGAACAAAGCCGTTTTTGCCACGAACTGATGCATGTTTTGACAACCCAGTGGATGGGAGGTGGATAGGCTTGATTGTGTGTGGCATTTGTTTATACAATCATCGGCTGGTGGTGAAACCCTGCCAGTGTGTCTGCCGGAGGCACTTCTGTATCCTCTTACTGTGAGTTTCAGTCTTCCGTTTGTTGTTTGAGCTTTAAGAACCGGCAAGACGCGGGCGCGCTGAGGTTAATGGGATCCTCGCACAGAGATTGAACCACGAAGCAATGGCAAACCGAGCGATTGAGGGTGGCATAAGCCAGACGGGTTAAGCAAAGCAAGAGAAAGAGAGAGAGAAAGAGACCGTAGCCATTTTGGCTCAAGTCTCCTGCCTGCCTCTCCCTCCTTGGGGCTCCAGCCATGTGCTTCATCCATAGTGTCTCCCTCCGGTCTGTCCTCGTCCGTCAGCGGTTCTGCCATGGGAGCTCCTTGCAATTGCTGTTCTGGACGCGGTTCCTGGAGGTAGCTCAACACCGGCGATCCCAACTCCAGTTCCGCTTCCGCCATCCACGGAGGAATCCCTCCACATGCTATGATCTAAGTTGAGCTCCGGCACCAGTGAGTTCCTTGACGGAGTGTGACCATCATTTTGTGGATGCGTGGCTCCCATTCTGGCACGGGTGATGTTCTTGCAAGAGGGTTCCACGCGGGACCTAGCTGGCTGTTGTTTCCATCTTCTCCTCCAGGCAGCTTTAGCGGGACTCTTGTAGCGGCCGACGTCTCCGTTTCCTCTTTTGTCGATGCACTTCCTTGAGATTCCTCTGGAGCGTATCCACCAGCGATGGGCACCATTCTGTCCGCATCGCCGTCTCCAGTTGTTTCCTCCAACGTCACCGCAACTTAGCCTTGGTCTGCATTCGGCTCCACTGCCAGAAGCCAAGTGTGCACAGGGGAGTTGATGTGATAGTGGCTTGAGCCAAAATCTCTCGATACGAATCACAATGAAACCCAACCCTGCCACGGCGGTCCAAAGCCGATGCATGCCCTAGGTTTACCTAGACGAGCCCAAGCGCGGGCCATTAGGGCCATTAGGGAAGATTGAGGCTGGACTTTGAATTGGGTCAAGCATTGCAGGCAGCAATTCAAATTTAATACTGGGCCGCACCACTGCTGCACCTCTCCAAGTTCAACATGCAGTTTGGCTGCAAGGACTGGACAAACTCAGTATAGACCACTCCAGGCCAGATACCTGAGGTTTCGGGCAACACAAACTAGAAGCTTGAAGGCTTCAGGGCTTGGTTTCACAGTGTACAGCTGGCAGTTTTGAGGGCGAAGCTTTGGTTTGGGGTTGCAACCAAGGCAAAACAAAACACGGTAGCGGGGCACTTGCTGCTAGTTCATTTGGCTCGATGAAACTGGTCTGTATGCTTGGAACCAATTTGGGCAGTAATGGCCTACACTTCCAAATGTCCAGCTTAAAGGAAAAGACGCCGAACACACCGCGGCCCTCACAGCCTATCTGCCTTCAGGTTGGGCAGAGCTTGAGCGATTGTCGACAAGCATGTACCCTGCTATCAACGCAAGCAAGGTGCTCACACAGTCGATGCCGAGTGGTCCCAGCTCCACCTTGCTCTACTGAGACCCTTTGAGGAAGCCGGTAGACACTCGAACCAGTCTATTCTTCAACACACAGAACGGTGTGCCCTTGCCGTTCACCTCCAAGCAGCTGGCATCGATACCATTGCAAAGCTTGCGCACATCCCGTGCAAACATCTTCATAGCGAGCTTCAGGTTGACTAGAGGTGCTTTTGTTGGGCCTTCGAACTCTATATTATACTGGTTACGGTGCGTAAGGGCGATGATGGTGATGATGATGATGATGACGACGATTGCGATGGTGATCATAAAAAAGCCGATGCCACCGCCGGCGGCAACAGCAATGACCACATCGTTCTCATATGAGCTACAGTCAATATTTTCCACATATTTTACTAGACGTGGATGGATTCTCGGTTCAGAAATATTTCAGGGACTATATCAACCACCAAAAGAGGTCCCTATATCAACCCTGCCTTGATGGTCCCTTGGTAAGGCTGATATTGATAGTGGCGCATAGAACCCCTTTTGTTATTGCCACGCCTTCTTGCTGGTATTCGCAACCAGTGACAAGACATGACCCAACGCGCCTGCAGATCACGGACTAGCCGGTCACCTTAGCAAGTTTGCAGAATTGAATCCTCGCGACATGCTCATGACCGCCTTACCACCGTACACAGTAGCTTCTGCAAGGCTCATACGCAAGCACATGGGCTCGGCACCTGACCTGTAATATCATGTAAAACTGCCCATGCCAAGCCACTGCCGGCCTTTGCTACGCCGTACGCTGTGGCATAGTAGTACCTGTTCTATGGCACAACCCGCTTTTCATCTTTGTGCCCGCATCGCGAGCTGAATAACGCCAATAAGATATGCACTCCCACTTAGTTCCGACCAAGTTGTCCTTTGGCAAAAATCAGGTTGCTGCACCCTGGGGCTACCAGGTAGCAGAGGCTTGGAGTTGCAGGGAAGGTTCCTGCTAGAAGGCATGCCTGCCCCAAGTCACGTGACCGCAGCAGGGGCAGATGTCACACACAACCTTGGGAAGGCGACGAGGCCCTTGCAGGCTCGTTTCCATGCCAGGAATCTTTTTGACTCTGCCTCTTTACGGCCAGGCACTGCAAAGCAGCCTAAAACATACACTAGTTCTGATTCGATGATTCGGTTGTTGGGATCCTGTTATTGGAGCTGCAGCTAGGCTTGAGGACTGAATTCAATCATATTGTAAAGGTTACTTACAGGTTTGAGGCAAAACCTGCTCGAGGATGCTGTCTGCGCCCTGACCCCAGCATGCAAAAATGACCTCTGCAAGATTCAGAACGCAGGGGATTTCCAGACACCATGAAGCATCCTCACCATAACATCCAACCAACCGGTAACCGGGAAGGGAGCTCGGCTTAGGCGCAGGCAGTGGTCGCCAGTCATCGCGGGTAGCGTTCAGCCTCAGCTGATCCCGGCTGTCCCATGATTCACTAGCTTTGCCACTCATGATCCACGTCGCTGGGTCACTGCCATATCCGCTAAAGACGTGCGAATACGCTGCGCGTGATACATCCACAAAGCCCGTCATTGGAGTTGTGGTTGACGTGCACCCTAGGCAAACAAGGACGGGGGGCTTCAATGATGACAAGCTCTGCATGAGTCCGCTAAAGCTCTGGATGCAAGATCACGAACTTGCCAACCCAACGAAAAACTTTAACATGGAAGACCTGGCCCAGGGACTCGGATGACAGTTCATATATGGCATCATAATTATGATGAAAGGTCCGATCCCTAGATGGCCACTCAGGACTTCTGAAGCTACGGCGAATCTCTATGCATCTCAGTGGCAGCAGGGGCGCCGCGTAGTAAGAGGCCACATAATGGGAACGAAGGCCAACTCCTGGATCCGAAGACTGTAAGTCTCAGTCGAAGGAGTTAGGATGTTGCCGTGCTTCTCTTATGTGACACGTCCTCACACATCCTCTGCCAGAAGGCAACCTTACCAATACAAACAAGTCTCTGTGCACATCGTCCCAGACTTGCAGAGGCAGTTCGAAGAATTTTGCGCCCTTCCATGGAGCAACAGTCAAACAGTTAGAAGGGTTGAAATGCGGGGCTCTGGTGGTTTGCATCTGGGTCTGAAAGAAGACAGCAGGACATTGCCTGGGCAGTCATCAGGAAAATCAAGCAAGGACTCGGCGGTAACAATAAGCATCAGAACCCATGTCATTTTACACAGGCTGCGAACAACATCTTAATTGCTCCATCTGCACCAGCTCAGCTTCACGACACATGACAATTTTTCCTGAAAGCAAAAAAGCTCCACCTTACCAAGAAGTTCGTCGCTTTTTATATCTCGCTGCGCAGGATCCTTGCCACAAAGAGTCAGGACTTTGCATGCTGAGGCTTTTCCTGTTTCTCATCGATCCTGTAACAGACTTGTATAATGCATCTAAGAGGTCAGACATCAGAATAACCCAAGAATCTGAACATCCTTCAGCAGCATCAATTTGGACTCCAAAGCTAAACAACTCCAGTGTGCAGGCAGCATCCTCACGCCCAAAGAATTTCCTGGAAGGCGTTGTTCACCAGAATGTCCAGCTTGCCACCCTGAGAAAAAGCATACAGAAGCATGCAGTGATTGGTTATTGCATCATCCTGGCATTTCTAATCTCGTAGCTTAGATGAAGCTCAATCTACTCGTTGAACTAAAGCCTTCTGGCGAGGCCCCAACATGTATGTAAGATTCTCAGGCTGTTCGTCCTCGCACGTACTCAAGCCACAACCCCAGAAGCATTTTCATAGCCATGGCGCTGTCTGCGCTTGTATCCTGGGCCAATGGGATTCAAGAGAATAACTCGTCACAGAAGCTGTTCTCAAAAAAGTCATCGACACCGCAGAGTGCCAACTTTGGATGGCATGAAGGGCTTCAGTTCTACTTTAGAATACTGTATCGAAGGTATGTTCTATCGTTTTCGGCGTGAGGCCACAAAGACGAGGACAGTTGTGAAAATGGTTATCCCAAAGCCGCGAGTGGGGCGAATTAGAATTCAGGAGCTCTGAAACAGGCTGCACGTACCTTGCATTACAGCAGCTACCACAATCCGCAGATACTGCAAAATGCGCATTCCAATCCATCAAGCATTCTGATGAGTTGAATGCACCACGTAAACAGCGGAGAGCAAGATCCGAAATTATTGCACTTGCGGAAACGAGGAATAGCAAAAACGGTGCTCAAAGCGGTCATCAGGAAGCTTCTGTGCACTGGAACATCAGATCATGCTTGACGTCGCACCGTTCTGGTAAATTCAATCGACATACGGCAGTTCATGTAGCGTCATGCCTGAATACTTGGAGAATCGCCAGGAAATGCAGATGTTCCAACACTCAAGCACAATGTCGAATCACATTTGAAGTCATGCCACCTTTTTGAAGGCATTTGGCAATCGTTTTCTGGCCACTTGCTTTGTTTTGGTCTCTTGTATCCTTGCTTGTTGGTCGCTTGCGCCTTTTTTCACCTGTTATTCCGCACCTTCCGAGACATAGCACAGACCAACTAACCGGGGATCAAAGTCACTTGCATCTTTTCTTGTCACACAGGTGTTTTGTGAACTGGGAAACTTGGAGACGTTTGTTTCAAATAACCCCCGTTTCGCCTTGTCACGAAGGGAAGACAGTGACGCAGGGAAGCTCGAGCAGGCACATATGATGACACGCGCTAAGACCACGGTCTTTGCCAAGCAAGAGCCTGGCAGAGGTAAACTCAAGCAGAAACACAAGTGAACACACGGCGCGATACAGTGAACCTGCGAGACTCAAGAAGAAACATCTGATCAAACCACCCCTTTTCGATTTGCAATTTGCAGAATTCAGCAACTCAGGGAAATCTAAGCAAGAACAGCCCCCCACAAGGAATGCATTGAGCATGTCATGCTCCAATTCACACCAATAGCTGGTAGTGCGGAGACCGAGCGCACATTGCCTGTAAAGATTCAGTTGAATCAGTTGATAAACATCGGACCATTTCGCACCAGTGCCATTAGCGACATGATGTGTCTAGGCACCAACTCAAAATCGGGATTCCAAACCAGGTGAGCTGTATTGGACTAACGTTGCAGCGGTTCGAGAAAAAAAAAAAAAAG